TATTAACGATACTGCTGCACCTGTATCGATCAGACAAACCAAATCTCGCTCATTTAGGTTCACTCTCGTATATACTGCCTCTCTGTCTACTAACGCAACAATCCCCAGATTCCTAGGATAGAAAGAACACTCGTTGTAACGTCTAACATATCTACGTCTTCGTCTTGTTGGACAGTTTATCTTCCAATGTCCTGTCCCTCCACAAGCGTAACATTTATCGTTCATTTTATTGTTCATTCGTATTGCTGCAATCTCGCGCTCCAGCTCCTCAATCTTCTTCTCGACATTACTCATCTCCTGCTTTCCGCACCCGACTGGAGCTACTGTTCGCGTCATCAGCTGACGAGTCACCTTCGCCAGTTCACTGATATCCATCGGTTGCGCTGCGTTCACCAGTTTCAGCTGTTGGGAGACGGTGGCAGGCACACTCTCGATAAACTGTGACGCCAACAACTGTGCCTCCGACTCCTCATCCAGACTCGGCAGCGCACGGCGTAACAATCTGGTAAGCTCCACAGCCATCATCAGTGGGTCCCCATCGACCGGCAACCTCGCCAACCGGAACTTCTGCAGCGCGTCCTCTCTGTCCACTGGGCTGTCAAACTCCGCCGCCAACCGCTCCGTGACTGCCTCCCATGTGGTCTTCCCGCCAGCACCGTCCAGGCTGTCATACACAGCCTTCGCCCTGCCTTTCAGCAGCGTCCCCAGCACCACCAACTTCGCCTTCGGGTCCTTCACTCCCACCAGCTCCGCCACGGCCTCAAACTCCTTCAGGAAGCACAGCACATATCCGTCCCCAAACTCCTTCGGCCATGGAATCTTCATCCTTAGTGGAGGCAGCGACACCAAATGTAGTGAAGAAGAACACGGGTGAGGACAGCCAAATTGTATTTAGAACAAATTACAGAATTACTTGGTAAAATAGAAAAACCATATAGTAAATCGTTAATTTGCAAAATATCATTCTATCATATCAAACCGGGTTGTTGCTGTTGCAAACATCAATCCATTGTCTCGCATTTCATTGCTCATGCAGTTTCTAACAAATTCCATTGTTTTCTCGCTCTTCTTTTCTTGATCTTCTCCGTCTTCTGCTGCCAGACATTACGTTCTTTTGACTCACGTTATATACTACTTATATCAATATAAGTAGCACGCACCACATCTGTAGTGATGGTTTAAGGGCAGCCGAAGTTTGCTACCCATCGTTCGACGAAGGCGCGAGTCACTGTTTCAGCAGTGATGTCCTTGATAGGAACCGCTTCTGGCCATCGAGTGAAACGGTCTACGCAAATTAAGAGATAAGAGTATCCATTTGAATCTGGTAAAGGTCCTACAAAATCCAGATGAACATGGTCGAAACGAGCATCGGGAGTTTTAAATGAGCCTAAGGGACACTTATTGTGTCTGAAGTAAACTGCGAAATGTAGTCCGGTTGTCGGGACTCACGGGGAGAGTACTTGTCTGAAGTAGAGCTTAGACAGAAGGTGAGTGGTTTATGGTCCGTGAAAAGAGTGAATTCACGGCCTTCAATATAGTGTTGGAAATGCCGTACAGCACAATACATAGCAAGGAGTTCCCTAACGAGTGTGCTGTACCTCGATTCAGTGTCTAGCAACCGTCTAGAGAAAAATGCCAAACGTTGCCAGGAGCTGTTAACCCATTGTTGTAAGACTCCTCCGATTGCCGAGTCGGATGCGTCTACTGCGATACTAATAGGTGCTTCGGTGTCCTGATGTGCGAGCATTGTTGCTTTAGCAATCAGTTCCTTAACTGTGGAGAATGCTTTTCTTGCGGTGTCGTCCAAATTAATGGATTTCGCATTTCCACGAAGTTGGTCAGTCAGAGGTTTCATAAGTAATGCGCATTTCGGTATGAAACGTCTATAGAAACTTACCAGGCCGTTAAACGTGCGTAATTGCTTGACGGTGGTCGGTTCTGGTTAACCCAGAATGGCCGCCACTTTGGTTCTAAGGGGTCGGATACCTTGAGCATCGATAGTGTGTCCCAGAAAATCTAATGAGTCGGTTCCGAATTGGCATTTCTGAACGTTTACAGTAATGCCATGATTTTGTAGTTGTTCGAAAACAAGATCCAGATGCTTGAGATGTGTTTCACTGTCCAGACTTGCGATTAGGCAGTCGTCAACATACGCATGTACGAAGTTGAGACCTCGAAAAACGTCGTCTATGAATCTTAGGAATGTTTGAGCAACGTTTCTTAGACCGAAAGGCATTCGCAAAAATTCATAGAGTCCGAAGGGAGTTATGATAGCTGTTTTCGGTATGTCGTCAGTAGCCATAGGGATTTGGTTTCGATTTTCGAAAAGACAGTTATACCTTTCAAGGTAGCTGTCAAATCGTGAATGTGAGGCAACGGGTAACTATCGGGAATGGTTTTCGCATTCAATCGCCGATAGTCACCAGTTGGACGCCAATCGTTGCTGTCCTTTTTAGGGACCATGTGCAACGGAGATGCATATGGGCTACTTGACGGTCGTATGATTCCTAAGTCTGTCATATGGTCGAACTCGTTTTTTGCTAACCTTACCTTTTCGGGAGCTAGTCGTCGTGCTTTAGAGAATATAGGTGGTCCTGTAGTCGTGATGTGATGTGTAACATTGCTGGTTACACACGGTAGTTTCGGTTGAGTTTGCTGTATCCCAGGGTACTTATCGAGTAGTGGTTGATAGAGTGGGTCCATCGTTTGCTTAATTGTGTTTGTGGATAATCTGCAACCAGAGAAAGAAGTTACGCAAACGGACAAATTAGTGTTTCCGTCTACTAGCCGCCGTTTGCGAGTGTCGATGATCAGATTGTGGTGTTGTAGAAGGTCCATACCAATGATTGGCATAGATATTTCTGCAACAACGAAGATCCAGTGAATGGGTTCGCATAAACCCACGTTAAGGTAAACGTACCTTTTGCCATACATAGCGATAGGTTTTCCGTTTGCCGCCTGTAAGTTTAAAGCCGATTTGTGAAGTCAGTCGATGGAATTCGCTGGGAGAACGCTAATTTCTGCGCCAGTGTCGACGAGGTAGCGAACTCTCGTTGTCACATCTGTGACGTATAACAGACGGCTATGTTCGCCGGCTACGGTTTCCGTTAACACGTGCTGGCTTGGAAGTTTCCTGAGTTGTTTTTCGAGTCAGTCGGTTTCGTGTTGGGAAAATTGCATGGTTTTCTGCAATTTCTGGAAAACTTTCCATACTGTTTATGATACCAGCACCAGTCGGGGTTATCTGTCTCTCGTGGTCTAGAGACAGACCGCTTACGTGAAATGCTTCTACGTTGGGTGCGCGATCTCTTACGGTCCGTACGAAGATTAAGATAACGCGTGAGTGTATGACATAACCCGGTTATGTCATTCTGAGTCGTTTGAGGCTTTTTTTGACTGAAAATACCTCGGTAGTAGATTTCGTAATTTCTAAAATACGATCGACAGATGCAGCCAGTTCGTGTAAGGCGTTGTTCTGAAACGAGACCAGAACCGCTTGCACCTGTTGGGGAAGTTTAGACAAGAAAATATGTTTGAACAGGCTTTCGTTGAAAGTTCTTGGGCCTATAACCTCTCACATCCTTTGCAGCATGTCCGTCGCAGAACCGTGCTGAAGGTCTGTTATTAAAGAGTTGATCTAACCTTTGTCGATCGGTTATGTCTCCTCGTTTTAGGATAGAACGCCTTAAGGTTTCGTAAGGTTCAGAAACATCATTAGTAAACATACTAGATGTTACGTACCTGTTGAATTCCCGCGGTGGTGCCTTGACTACTGCAAAGAATCGTGCACGTGTGTCATTCACGCCGTGCTCGCGGAAGTCGGCTTCTGCGTAGCAAAACCAGGCTTCGATGTTGTCGGGCCAGAAAGGCATCAGTTGAAACGAAGGCGAGGACAAAGTCCTAACCTTGAGTACTTTGGGTGTCTGTTCTGTCATGATGAAATATGAAGTACGATAATGAACGAGGGGAAAATATATATATCCAAGAAAAAGCACGAAAAAATAGCACAATGTTTAAAAAATAAAAAATAAGTCAATTATATATAAAAACCCCAAAAAGGAACAGACTCACTGTTGCAATTAGGTGTACCAGATCACGTCGGTCTCACCAATGAAGGATGACACAGGTATTCAGGGTTTGACAACGCTTCTACCAGTAAAACCTCCTAATATGATTTGTACCCACCGAGATAAATCAAAAGACAGAGTCGAGGGGATCGGAAGAGTGTATTTGGTGACTACCAATATATCGGAATTCTCTGATCTAATCTGGCTAGCGATTGCGGTTGATGTTGAGCACGGCGTTACCACACGTGATCTGGTGCGGATGCATGAACGAGCGCCTTCAGCTAGATGAGTCCACCAAAACATATGGTCAGCATCCAATGTCGAAAACTTACAGGGCTATTTATTTTGGGGATTTATTTACCGCTACAACACTTTCAGAAGCAAAACCAACGGTAGGCCGTCGTAAAAGTGCATGAAGCCAAAAGGTAAGACTGTGAAAGCCGAAAAATACTAGTTATTCTATCTGTCAATATTTCAGTTTCGTACCAGTGATATTTAGTTCATATTTTCTCATCCACCAAAGTGGAACGACTTGATAAACTAGTAATCTACCGTTCACCGATACTGCCCACTCAACTATTTCAAGATACAGCGTCCTCGGTTTACGAAAGCCTATGAAATTACCTTTAAATTACAACATCATGCATTTGAAAACGGTCATTTCAAAATAAAAATCATTTCGATTAAAAAGAGAGGAACAACTGAAGTTTACTGAAATGTTTTGCTCCAGTTCGCTCTTGAAAACTTGTTGATGTCTGTGAAATGAAAATTTTGTTCGTAGAATAATGTTTACCTTATGCATCAATAATCATCAGAAACAACTTTGAACATACTGATCTCCACATATTCAACATCCAATCCACTTGTTTGTATTGATAGCTACCATTCACGAGTACAACTAAACTGGCCCGTGGTATTCATCCATTTCAAAAAATGGCTGCGAAAGCGTTTTTCGATATTAAGGCCGGTGAAGAGCGATTGGGAAGAATTACATTTGAGGTAATTGTAGTCTTTCTCAAAGTATTATTTCTCAGTTATTCAATGATGTTCCAGATACTACCAGAAACTTCCGCGAGTTGTGCACTCATAAGAACAACTTTGGTTATAAAGGTTCTGTTTTCCACCGCATAATCCCCGGCTTCATGTGTCAGGGTGGTGATTTCACTAATGGCGATGGCACGGGTGGTAAAAGTATATACGGAAATAAATTCAAAGATGAGAACTTCAATCACAAACACGAGGCGTTCTCACTTTCTATGGCCAACGCTGGACCAAACACGAACGGTTCTCAATTCTTCATCACTACTGTCCCATGTTCATGGCTCGATGGCAAACATGTCGTTTTCGGTAAAGTACTCAGTGGTCAAGACGTGGTCAAGAAAATGGAGAGTTTAGGTTCCACAAGTGGGAAGCCATCCAAAAAAATCATAATCGAAGATTGTGGAGAATGTTAAATATCTGTTCCACCTATGTATGTTATAATTTATGAAACTTATCTGGCGTATATAAAATCGTCGTCGCAGTATTCCTTTCTTTCTTCAGTGTATACAGATTGGCTTCTGTCGCTAGTTGATCTCAGTGATTCAATATCAATTTAGCATTTGACTTGGGGTAGTGAGTATGTGAATTGAGATGCATAATCGCTATGCGGGATAGGTTAGTTGTGAAGCTCCAATTGCTACTATAAAGGACAATGAAAGCGTCATAACATGACAACATAGTTCAGGCTAATAAACTTCATAACCACCTTAGGCCTACTCGTATATCGTTAATAACGACGTTTATATTCAGCGTGCGGTATGGCTTCTCTTGTACACTTCAGTCGAGAGAACAATCTGTCCTCGATCCGTCGTTAACTAGGTTGGTTGTTGCGGTCTTCATTAAAGCAAATATAGTTCTAGTAGCAGCATACAATTTATGAAGAACCAAACTAGATGTCGTGCTCATTCAGCAGGATCTGTTATGTAGAGAAACCATGGCCCACTAAGCACTACGAGGCATTCTTATACTTCGGATTTACATGCTCGGTTTTATGATTGTCTTGAGATATCAGTGTCGTCGATCAAACTACCGAAAATCAGAATATATGTGGCAGTCAGCATTAGTAGTGAAGTCGCTTGAAGACAATACCTAGATGGGGTTTGTAGCTCTTTCCTAGCAACCTTGTTTGGTGATTTCGACCACTGATGAGCTTTTCGATGGCGTATCAGTAACCAGTAGATAGTCATGCTTCAAGTGTATCAACTAGGATGATATCACCAGCGTTACAGTGTTAAATGTGACAGTATGGTAGTATAGTGCCGGGTACCGTGGTGGGTATCCTCCAGTGTCGGCGTCACTTGCCGCACTAGGGATTTCACGCGCGTCTTAATCAACGGCGGGGATCTGTCCTGGTTGTTTTCAATATTGTTTCATGGGATAATTTGGTGGTTTAGTGTTTGATTCTCAGCCACGAGTGCTGAAGTTTAGGTAGTTCGGTCTACACGGCGAGACTAGCTCGATTTATCCGGTTCGGGGTACACGAACATGTCGAAGGTTGCGAGGATGTTTCGTACATTAGGGTTGTCAACAAGCACGTAATGAGGATGAGCGGTCTCAGAGTCTGTAAATCCCTACGCTATGAAATTGTGTACTGTCTTTATCATTACGATACTGGGATTCAGCACTTCGTTAGGAACGAGTGTGTCGCTCGTTTCCATATTGATTGCTGTTGTGGTGTGTCCTACATATATTGACATAAGCAGTATATGTTGTTAGTCGTGAACAGAAAGTCTAGCAGCAGAGAGACAAGAGGGTCGAACAGTAAAGAAGGGAAACAGGATGCGATTTGTATAAAAATACAAGAACGATGAAGTCTGAGTCACTTTGAGACAATTGGTGGGCATTTTGCAAATTATGCATTTACTTTATGGTTGTTATATTTTATTAACAAATTTTGTGTTAAACACATCCGGTTGTCTCCACCATGTTTTCTTCACCACAGTGTCATCATTATATTCGAAGCGGAATATGGTCATGCTTTGCGTTCTCAGATATGTGTAAAGACTAGCTTTAATTATGGGCCATAACCAGAAGTTCCATAATGGAATGAGACAGCCGGTAAGGACTTCCTGCTTCTGATTTGTTGTTCTGTTTAGAATTAATCTCTTGGAAATCAGTGACTGGTTTAACTCAGAGAAGTACGGCAAAACTGCTAGAGATACAAGCTGTATCAAAAAGCTGTCATTTAAGGTGTTCAAAAATTCTGATTTGTAAAGCTAAATGATATATTTGTCTTCCTTTTCAGTTTAAAATCATCTCGGTTTACACTAACCTTGCTGGTCCGTTACTAAAACCCTATGTCTTAATACAATTAATTTTGTCAGTGACAATCAACCTAACACCTGACAGAGATATTTGTTAACCTGAGTTGTCATGTCATAATACCACAAAGAGATGAAGTTGATAAAAAATAGTACAATCGGTGATGTTGAGAACGACGAGACATTAAAATGTAATTTGTAAAGAAGGATGGATTGAAGGAAAACAGTCGTGATAATATTGAAGACAAAAGAATTGAAGGGGAGATTAGTAAGTCCACCTGTAACAACTTCTGAACCATTTCAACCAACGCTTCCAACCAATTATGGTAGTCGGCCTCAGCAAACACGTAAATACATGCATGTATCACTGGCAAGTGCTGTGTGTATTTGAGTGGACTTGTGAAAATCACTTTTGTTTGTCTCAGGTGTATTTAGCAAAGATGAATAGTTGCCAGAAATGGGATCTAGGACGTGCATTTCGTCCCGTGTGGTGCTTATCACCTGGATGTACCTGCATCTCAGAGTTGATGTCAGCTCTGGGACTAGAACCCAGTACCATTCGCATCAAATACCATCGCGTTATCCACTCAGCTACTGAGTCCTCATAGCCATTTGCTTGTGCAATGGTGCGAAGTTTAATTCACTTGGCATTGTTTGCTTGTATCTTCCTATTGTTGTTTAGGACTACAATCGATCAGTTTCTTACTGTCATATGTGCATCCTGTATGGACCACCTCGATATTGCCTTAAGTCACAAGCTTTATAAGTAAAGATGGATAGCACTTAGCATAAACCAACAAGAAACTGATCAATTGAAGTCCTAAACAACAATGGGAATATACAATCAAACAATACCATGTGGATTAAGTGTATTCAGATACTTGTTTATCGGACACGAATCCATTTGATTAACTTTAGCTAATATTCTATTTGTAAGGAGTAGGTGTTGTGGTGGTGGGCGGCCTATGCTCTTTTTCGATTGGTATCAGGCGTAAGGAAAAAAGTAATTAGCAGAAGTCAGGCTACTTTTTTGGTCAAAACAAAAGGTGGAACAGAATAATGACTTTTGACTTGGTGTTCAAATGCTGCATTACTTTAACAGGAACTACTGATCAGTAGAGAAATTTATTTGTCTATTCAACACACAATTGATGTTAATATACTACCAAACTTTATAAATATTACTTATTTCCCTAAAAAAGATTTATAAACCTCACTCAAGAACGAAGAATGCAAGCTAGTCACTGAGGTTCAAGAACACCAGAACTGGCGGGATAACATTTTGAAGCACTGAATAGAACTGTTGCTGTTATCTCGGTCATCTACCATGTCAGTAATGCAGAGGTTCGGCATCGTGTGTTCGGGCACAGAGATGATAACTCAATTGGTGTCACCATCTTGAGACACCGACTTCGGTGTCTTGGACATGTTCTACGAATGTCGTCTCAGAGAATTCCACGTCGTGCATTATTTGCCGACTCTGGGACTGGTTGGAAGAAGCGGAGAGGTGGTCAGTGCATGACATGGTGTCGTGGCATGAAAGAAAGCTGCAAAGGACTGGCTTGTGTTGGTCCTTCACGACTCCCTGGTTGGGGTCCGAGAGATGGTGCAACACAGTGGCTAGAGACGTTATCAGATATGGCTCAGAATAGAAGCCAGTGGCGATCCTGCTGTAACCTTCTTTTACTTTCTTCATAAAAAGTGGTTGTGTCTCCCTTACCTGAAATATTTCTTCTGATTGTACTTTTCCGTTCCCTCGTTACTACCACACTACCTTACACCAATCCCTTCGTCATTGTTCTCTTTTTCTTTTACGCTCCTTAGTTTTTTTTTCTATTTCTCTTCGAATTCTCATTGTTTTGTGTGGCGCATACATATTGGCGTAAATATCTTCAACCGCTTCGCCTCCACTGACCAAACTTAAGGCAAATTAATCAACAGTAATTCTAACTAAAGAATGACCTAATTAGACTATTGCAATCAACATATTACGTAGTTAAATGTAATTGTCTCTCGTATCTTTATTCACAAATCTTTGTCTTTATTATTATTATTAATGGTTAAACATCATTATTCATCTCCCCAAAACATGATTTAGGCACTTCGCATTCATCCCACCTTATTGTATTTTACTAATCATTTTTTACACAATATAGTCTTCCAATTAACATAGGATCGAATTGTAATTGCACTATTATTTATGTCTCTCACCCTATCTAACCCATATTCATTCGGATCATGATGGATCACTTAACATCTAAGTTGATTGAAGTTAACATTCTATATAAGTCATATCAACCTAAACAATCTTATTGTATTTTATTTTACAATGCTACAATTCTCATGCTTTAACTTGAAATGATGTACTTTACCCTTAACCTGACCATTTCTCAGATTACTAATTTGCACTATACAAATGTAAAAGGTGAAGAGAATTTTTCGAAAACAATAGTCATCTTTCATAGATTAGTAATTTGAAGATGATGAGGATCCTCAAACGATTGAAACACAGAAACGGCTTGAAATGTGGTTTGAAATTTCCCATCTTGGTAAATCTATTCAGTATCACTGATTGCTTGCAAAATGGAAATTGTTTAACGATAACCTGTCAGTGAGTGAGTGAGTGACCTGACCTCATTTTCATGACCTTTACTCTAAATTCATATAAATAATGAATTCGTTTCAGTCCTGATTGAATTCACTTAATGGTTTGTTCTTATCCAAAACGAGTTTCGTAACAGAGGAATACTAATGCAGTTGTGCGTGTGTGTGTGTTTGTTTGTTTGTTTGTGTAGTCGATCGATTGAGTAGATTTGAAACATACTCGAATGATGACTATTCATGAAAGCTGATTGATTGTATTAGTGACATTTAGGAACATGTAGTCATTACACATCGTATAAGATCGGTTTGCATATAGTTGAACAGATCAGTAAAGAGGGGTCATGATCCCTCAAATAGAATCAGGTGTGATACTGTTATGTAAATGGGGCAATCATTGAAAGTTGCATACTATTGTGTACTGATAGAAGTTAGACATTAACATAGTTGGATACCGGTTCACTGAGTCACAAGTATCTGGAATTATTTTTTCATCGCTGGATTCTCTTTTCCTTATTCAAATAGCTGTGTATTTAATAGTGTTCTATATT